AACAAGTTAGAAATTTAGACTCGGCCAAGGCGTTACGTGACATAAAATCACTAGAACATATTATAAAAATTTTAAAGAAAATTTAATGTCAAAACGTTTCGACTGCACAGAGTCTTCCTCAGTTGAAATAAATTAACATATAAATAAATTTAAAAAAATCATCAGTTAAATAAATTAATAAAAAAACCTATAGAAACAAAAAATTCAGTCAATAATCAAATTCAAAAAATCTAAAACTGATCACTGTGAATGAACACTGTGTAAAGTTTTGTCGCATATTATATTCGCAATTATTCGTTCGCATACAATAGCACGGCGCATGTTGTATAATACCTTCTTTAAGCGAAACATTTTTCATCCGTGGGTTGACTCGCTTGATCGTTATTGATGATCCGAAATCAATTTCTACGTCGAATATTCATGTTCTTTTTATTACGTGTATCATTCCGGGAGCGATATCAAGAAACAGCTATTAACCGAGAGTTGTTTGCCGTAGAAATCCTCGGTTAATTCGATGGTGCGACAGAACAAAGACCAAATCGTTACAGAGAAAGGTATAGACGTCGAAAGGTCTAATCGTCGAGATATTTACGACTGTGCTATTGTATGCAAACGAATAATTGCGAGTATAATATACGACAAAACTTTACACAGCGTTTATTGTTTTAGACTTTCTGAATTCTATTATTGACTGAATTTTGCTTCTATAGATTTTTTGTTAATTTATATAAACGTTTAATTTATTTTACTGATGTTTTTTATTAATTTATTTATATGTTAATTTATTTCAACTGAGGAAGACTCAATGCAGTCGAAACTGTGACATTGAACTTTGACGTTAATTTTTTTTTTTAATTTTTATAATATGTTTTAGTGATTTTATGTCACGTCACACCTTGCTCGTTTCTTGGCCGAGTAAAATCTAAATTTCTTGTTATTTAAACACGAGCTAGTAAATGTAATTTTAATTTTAAAAATTTATATTTATGATTAATGTAATTAATAATGATTTAACGTGATTAACAATAATTCACTTATTATAATATTATGAAAAAGAAAGGAATGTTTTATTTGGCTGAATCGATTTTTAATATTTGCTACTTCTAGCACAATATGATTATATGATTATATCTACATGCATACAACATTATATTGATTCATCCACATGGCATTGTTCTTTAGAGTCGATGGTGGAGTTTCCAAAAATGATTTTGTCTTGCAATCGTTAGCTGATTCAACAGGATTAGAAGTGGAACGTCCAGTATCTGTCGAGATGTCCATCTTAGGAGTAGCTTTTTTAGCTGGTTTACAATGTGGTACGAAAAATCTGATTTATTATTATATTTGTGTATTTGATAATTTAAAAAAGTAATAAAAATGTATATTTTATTTTTTTTCTTATCTAGCACGTCTCAGATTCGTGTGATTCTTTGTGCCAGAAGAACAAATTTTGTCCTTGACAAAATTGTATTCGAGCAGTTTTAAAAGCAATTAAATGAAAGCAAATAAAAATGAATAAGCGCGTTTTAAATTAGATTACATAAATCAAGAGTGACGAGCGCACTGAACACAATACAATGTTTGACTGTTTTTCTGAAAAATTTATACATAATAACTATGTATAATATAATAATATCGCTATTTGTGGAACATAATTGACTTAAGAAGAGAAAATTAGTTCACATATCTTTAGAACGTTAGAACAGCATTTTTTGGATTTAATCTATTTATTTAATCTATTAATTTTACTTTTAATCATATTTTAGAGATATCAGAAAATTTTCTTTTATTACTAATTATTAAGGAAGTTGTATTCCATATAGCGATATTTAAATATTATATCATGCATAACTGTTACGAAATCTTTAGGGGAATAATAAAATGCTAATTTAGCGCGCGCTGCTCTCGATTCATGCATAAATTAGAGTATTCATTTGTTAACTTTGAATTGCTTTCATTTAAAAACTGCTAGACGCAATTTTGCCAGAGAAAAAAATTACTTCTTCTAATACAAAGAATCACATTGTACATTCCGTGTCAGTGAATTCTATGACACTCTGTACACAAACTGGTTAATAAACAAAGATAATTCGATACAAAATTATGTAATTTTCGTATATTTTTATTGTTCACATTTTATTTAGTTTAGATATAGTTTAGAATTTTTTAAAAATTATTCAATAATTGCAATAAAGAATTATTTATCATGGTATAATAATAAAAAATTAAGAGTTATACAGTTGAATACACATAACTGTGCTTATAATGATAATTTTTAATGCATTGTTTAATTTCAGGACTGTGGAAGAACAGAGAAGAATTGTTAAATCTCCGTCAAACGGACAGGATATTCAAGCCAAACGAAGAATCGCGATTATCTTATCAATACGTGCTGAAACAATGGAAACGCGCATTGGAGCGTTTTAAAAATTGGTACTGACAATAATTCCCAAATAAAAACAATTTTTTAATGTTTACATGTATATGAAGAATTTTTTTATTGTTTATATATAGAGAATTTTTGAATATATGTAAATAAACAGGGATTATATATGTACATATATACATTTGTTATATCGTTCAATATTGATCAGCAAAGTTGATCAGTTGATCAGTTGAGAGATCAGCATTGAAGATTAAGACGATTACATACGATTAATGATATCATTAATAGAATTTTTATGTTTCACAGTTAGAAAAACTGTTTTCTGTTTTCTTTTGTATGTAATGTATTAATGATATCATTAATAGAATTTTTATGTTTCACAGTTAGAAAAACTGTTTTCTGTTTTCTTTTGTATGTAATCGTCTTAATCTTCAATGCTGATCTCTCAATTTTTGTCATTTTATTCATATCATATCGTATAATTGCATAGCACTTCTACGTAATTTTCAATTAAAATAAAAGCCTTAATAATCAATTAAGATGAAAGCTTTAATTCCAGATCGCATCATAGTATCTATGATAAAATGAAAACACATATCACATTTATCTCCGTAATGTAAGTTCATTACAGTAAAATTGCTCAGATCATTAAGTATATAAAACTTGATATATGTATTCATTTAAATTGATTAAACAGAAATACATCAAACAATTATATGTATAATATTTTTATATAAACAGCAATCATATTATATTCTCTAGATAATAAAATAAAGATTACAATCAACCTACGCGAAGTCAATTTGTTTTGTCTCTCGTTATCACGTCGATCGTTATCATGTCGTTATCAATCAATTTACATTTGTATAGCACGCACGGACAATCAATGGAAGTTCCATGAGTATGGCTCGAAAAGTAGCATTAAAGTTCTATATTTGAACATTACTTAATTAAAATCAAGGTCAAAAGGTATACAATAATTTTATCAGAAATAATGCTATTATAAAAGTGCCGCGACGGGAGATGATCTTACAGATTATAATTATTTATTGTCACTAGTTCAACGCGCGCTTCTTAGTAACGATGGAAGGTCAGGCAAGCTTCGGCTAACCGAACGAGTAAACGAAAGTGTTGTACAATACACACCGCTGGCGTGAAACACGTGTAATAAGTGAAATTGCCTGACCTACGCAGGCTGGCGGTGATGTATCATGCTGGCACGCGAGATCGCTTATCCGGTTGTTAGTTGCTCGCCAGCTGTAAAATTCATTAAGGATAACACGCGCTGGAACCCCGTCCAAGTTAAATTTAGTCCTTGCAGACGTTGGGCAGGTGCAACACGTTTTTTCCGTATAATACTTTACGATAATTTGGTCACACTCGTATAATTTAAACGGCAATTTTTCAGTGTAGCCAGCTATTTCAGTTATCTAAAATTTATTGTGTTTATTATTTATTATATCAAAGAATCTACGTTAAACTGCATATAAAATTTAAGAAACGTAAGCTTATACACTTATAAAGTGTTAATCATAGCATCATTTAACACAAGTACATATTTAAATTGTCACTAATCATACAGATCCAATCATATTAATCCATTTAGGTTGATAGCGAAAGCTTTAAAATGAAGTCGGTGGAAAATTTGAAGAATGCAATTCTGCCTATTACTTTGCTCAATTGTATATTTTGCATGGGAGTATTCGAAATACCCCTAAATCGCCCACGATACTTTCTAAGTGGCTTCTATGTCATCTCGATAATGATTGGATATTTTGTTATGTTTTACAAGGGAATTTATATCTTCGAGCAAGCGTACAAGTATGAGTTTATAATATTTTATTTTGTCATCGGGCTCAACACCATAGTTGCTGTCTTGGCTATAATTCTGTTCTGGTTTAAGTCAGAGGTACGTAACAAAATTTTACAGAAAATTAGTACACAATGAAGTAGTAGCAAATAAAAGTTATAGAAAGATTACACTAATGTATTGCAGAAACATCGATGTTCGGCTAATTAAAAAAAAAAGTATAATAAAATTTCCTTTTTTTTGCACTCTTTTCGTGGATATATGGAAATGTTAAATATTAGAGGTGTGCGAATTAAGCAATTGCATGGTCGAATCGAATCGAATCGAATTTGAAATTTTCACTTCGAATAGTTCGAATCGAATAGAATCGAATCTCTTTAATTCGAATACGAATCGAATCTGAATCAAATTTTCCCATATTAACATTGCATTTAAACGTAATAAATATCAAAATTTATTATTTACATTATTTTACGCAATGATTTAAACAAACTAAAGATCTGTTTTTGATTTACATTTTATTACAAAGGATCAAAGGATCATGATCTTATGTGACATTTCGAACTAGAAAATATTAATAATATACGTATACACAAATAGTTAGAATGTTTTCGAATATTTTATTAATTTATATGAATACATTACATATATCAAAAATACTTATTTATTAGATAAGAATAATTGGTCGCGCGGGAGATGTAAATGAATCAAATAAAAAATAGGCGATCGATCCGAAATCGAATCATTGTTAATTCGAAATTCTCGAACTATTCGATTTCGAATCTTGTAGATTCGAAAACGAAATCGAATCGAATCTACTGTGAATCGATTCGATTCGATTCGATTCGAATTCGAACTATTCGCACACCTCTATTAAATATGTACAATAAATGTTAAATATATATTTGTGCAGGTATATACATTTTTTCCTTTTACATCATGTCGTTTTGTGTCACCGAATTATTATTATTAAACAAATGTGCTAATATTAATAAATTTCGACTTAAAGATTATAAACAACATAATTAAAAGGAATAGTGTAGCGGATAGTACTTTAGAGGCATTGGGCATAAAATCAGAATATCAGAAAACCTATCGAAATATGTTATATCTTATGGCTATCTGGATGCTAGGCATGATAATGATATTCATTTTGAATTTAATCTGGATGCATGATGATACGGGATACGGATTTGCCCTTTATAGCTGCGTATGTGTCTGTTTTCCGATTATGATAAATTCTATAGTGGACCTCACCTTCGCCTCGCTTATCAGGCAAGTAATATGTTTTTCAAAGAACACTTATCTTGCGAGAAGTTTGTTCAAAGTACTGAAACCATTAAGATTTCTTTGATTTCTCAATATAGACTTAGAAAGTATAGACTGCGCATTCCATGTTATATGTATATAACTGTAGAACTTATCATCTGTGCTCCGTTAAAAGAAGAATGTAACATTGAGTAGTTTCGTTATCTCTTTTGAATTCGCCTTGGTGAGGAAGCATAGAGAAGAATGTCACCATTCATAGAATCACAATGTCTCCACTACTGATATTTGGAAGAGAAAGATACGGATCAAGCTATTTCGCTCTTTCTAAATTGAGAGCGGCAATTTCAAGGAATGTGCAGTCTACATACGTCTATGTTTCTAAGATCTGTGTTGATCGTAATAATGTTTCTTTAAATTGTTTGCAAAGAAAAAATAAGTAAACATATAATACGCCTTTATTTATGTTTACTTGAGTACTCATTAAGATTGCATTGTGTCGGGCAGGTGTCTTCAAATAAAATTTCAGAAGACAAACAGTCTAATCAGCAATGTAGTGTTCTGTGCAAATAAATCAAATACCTTCAAGATTCATAATAAGCAGCAAAATACAACTACTGAATTTGTTATGGCAAATTATAAAAATCACAAAGACAAAATATTACATCTCATTCAGACTCTAAGGTAAGATCAATAAAATAATATTCGCTTTTGTTATAAAGTTTCCATTAGTATAATGCTACAAATTAAAATAATTAAACATTAAAAAATCTTGTAATAATGATTAATATATATTATACTTTAAAAATAGCTGTTTCTCATCTCACGTATTTTTTTAATAATATTTAGTAAGTTGATATGATATATATAATTATCTTTGCTAAAAATCAAGTTCATTTTTTAAATTTTTCTCTCTTTTTTGCTTTCACACGTACATACACATAATATGTTCCAAATTTTGTAATTTGTTCAAATAATCGAGTATTTATAAATATTTTAATATATTACTTAAACAATCATTAATTAATTAATATTTTTCTGTCATTTACAGACATTTACATTTGGAAATTACGAGAATAGGAAAACAAATTAATCGTGGTTATTGTCTGCAACTTTTACTCGAAATGGCAGTACATTTTGCAGTAGTAACAGCGACTGTTTATTGCTTATATGGTGTATTTTCTGGCCAGCTACACGTAATTGTCAGTAACGAAAAGATTGTTGCTATGGTATTGTGGGCAGGCACATATTCAATTAAAATTGTATTAGTAAATTATCTTGCCACGAACGTAACAAACGAGGTATAAAAAATTCTTTTTTGCAATAAAAATAAAATATACAATTATATGCAATATTTAAAATTAAATTATTTAGAATTAAACATATCAAGTTTATTTTAAGAATATTATATAATTTATTTGTTATGTATAAACTGTGAGTGTCTTTTAAATTCTTATACATAGTATATATGCATAATAATTTTAATTTTTCATGAATAACGCCCATTGCATATATCCGATTTATGCATAATTTTACTTTAAATTCATATCGCATATATTAATATTTATTTCAGGCATATAAAACCGGTGAAATTATACAATCCTTTGAAGGGTCCATTATCGATAATGATCTGAGAGAAGAGGTAAGTCTGTTTGTGTTATTAATACATGATTAAATTAGCCCTTTCTCCATAACGTAAAACATTATTGATATTCATATACAGTGATTAATTTATATAAGATATAGATTGCAAATTTATGTATAAATTCAATTTATTGTTTACGTACGTAACTTGGATAATATATACAATATATTTATGTATATAATAAAATTAGTATAGTATATAATAAAATATATATTTATGTATATAATAAAAAATGCAAAAATGTGTTTGCAGATCCATCAGTTTACACAACAGATAGTGCTTAATTCATTACATTTTACCGCTTTCGGTTTCTTTTCAATTGATAATTCTCTTACTGGCAAGGTATGTTATTTACTTGGTCATTTAACTTAATCGGTCAAATTAGAGATTATATCGTTTATTTATTCTTAATAATATTTTAGTATAATTGTTTATAAAAAAATTTAAAGTGTAAAGCTACATTTAATATAAGATTTAAAAATGCGAGGAAAAATAAGATTATATACATCTATTTTTTTCAGTTTTTTGCCACGGTCACGACATATGTTGTTATTTTAATACAAATGAATACACCCATCATAGATTATAATGACGAACAACATAATGACATGTAAAATAAGAATTCAAATGTATTAAACAATCTTCTATTAATGCTATTCCAAGAGACAGGAGTTTACGAAGGACTTTCAACAAGAG